TTTTTTTTTTTATATTTTTCTATAATTAAAATATTAACACATTATATGGTTTTTAATTATTTTCTAGGCATGAGAGACTTGTGGGAGAAGACGAGGCTCGAATCGGGTTCCCGGTTTGGGAGTTAGAGTCGGATTTCACTTTAGGCAAACTAGTTCCTTAAGAAATTTGAATTCGAGGTGTTAACGCCCCAAAATCACCAAACGGCGTCGGTTTAGCACGAAACTTGGCATACACGACCGTCTAGGAACGAGAGACTTGTGGGAGAAGACGGGGCTCGAATCGGGTTCCCGGTTTGGGAGTTAGAGCCAGATTTCACTTTAGGCAAACTAGTTTTTTAAGAAACTTGAAGTCGATGAGTTTACGCCCCAAAGTCACCAAACGGCGTCGATTTAGCACGAAACTTGGCACACACGAGGGCGTAGGCACGAGAGACTTGTGGGAGAAGACGGGGTTCGAATCGGGTTCCCGGTTTGGGAGTTAGAGGCGGATTTCACTTTAGGCAAACTAGTTCCTTAAGAAACTTGAATTCGAGGAGTTAACGCCCCAAAATCACCAAACGGCGTCGGTTTAGCATGAAACTTGGCACACACGACCGCCTAGGCACGAGAGACTTATGGGAGAAGACGGGGCTCGAATCGGATTCTCAGTTTGGGAGTTAGAGCCGAATTTCACTTTAGACTAGTCAAAATTATTTACTAAACTATCTTTCTAATTATATAGTAGTTAATTTTTTTATATTTTTCTGTAATTAAAATATTAACACCATTATATTGTTATTAATTATTTTTATTTTGTTTTTTTCAGATATTTCATGAGTAGCTGTTTGCTTCGTGTGGAATGTGGGCGTGTAAAGATTATGACCAACTTCTGTTTTTGTAACTTATGAAAGAATCAAGACGAAAACTTTTGGTTTTGATTTTGATTTATGTTATTTAAATTTGTGACCAACATTATGTATGTATTATGTGACCAACATTATGAATTTTCATCATTTGCCAACTTTTGTTTATGTATGGATTTATATTATTATGTAATTTTTCGATTTTTTTTTTAGCCATTTTTCATTTGCCAACATTAGTTATTTTATTTATGTATTTATATTATTATTTCATTTGCCAACATTACAGGTTATTTTTATATTTTAAATAATTGTAAAATAGGGTTTTTTTTAAAATTTTTTTTGAGACGGCAGAACACCCCGTCGCAAAAAAAATAAAATAAAATTGTGCCAGGCTTTTTGCGACGGCAGCCATACCGTCGCAAAAGGTATGGAATTTATTTGAGAAACAAGGCTTTAGCGACGGTACAATTGCTGTCGCCAATAGTCATTAGTGCTGACATTTTTTGCGACGGAATTTTGCCGTCGCAAAGACCTATTTTAGCGACGGAAAGCTTGTGCCGTCGCAAAAAAGCCCAGATCTTCATCCATTATCGGCGACAGAAATTTACCGTCGCAAAAAGGAAATATTGCCGTCGCAAAAACAATGGCGACGGCAAAGTGCCGTCGCTAAAGGTCTTTTGCAACCCCCCTTGTTGTGACCCCCACTTGCCGTTGCAAAAAGAAAATTTACTGTCACAAATAGCTTTTAAGACGGCGTTTGGATTATTTGCGACGGCATTTTGGCGTTGCAAAAAATAATTTTTTTTGTAGTGTTTATCTAAAATAAGTCATAAATCCAGTAACAATGTGGATAATGACTAGGACAAACTATTGTTTTTTGGTCAGTGAGAATAACATGCTTTTCAATTTTTAAGGCAATAAAACAAGTGGCCTTAGGCCTTTGTTTTAACATTGTTTTGCTTTTTTTATTTCTTTGTGAATTTTTTATTTAAATTTTGAAATGTTAAAACTTTAATTACATCTATGTCTTAGATTTTTGTTAAAAATATATTAAATGTGAAATTTTAACAAAAAATCAAAACTTTAAAAGTTCGTATAATAATTAGATTTAACTATTTCAAATAATTAAATTTTAATTTATAATAGCACATAATAATATGCATTTTTAAAGTTTGTTGTAAGTTGGTTTGATGTGACTAATCCTAAAGATACAAATAGAGACTCTACCCATATTTATTTTACAGTATATTTTCTTGTTTTGTTTTCGTCACAGTATCAAACTCGACGCATCTATACTTTGTAATAGGTATGTTGTGCATCAAAATGACACAATTTTGATCCTTTTAAAGTTGATTCGTTTTTTCGTTTTTTTGTTTACAATTGAAAATTTATTTTTATTTTATTTTGTGCACAAGATCCCTCTTTTAACATCTTACTAGAGGCAATTGATTGATTAAACACTAATTTTTGCATGGTATGGTACACGCACAATCTTCATTTGTTAAGATAATTTTTATTTTTTTTTAGCCCATTTCTTTCATTTGTATCTGTTATCATTGCCTGTGATTCAATGTGATAATGTTCATTGCCTTTTAAATTTTATTGGTCAACATAATTATGCATATTTAATTATTTTATAGAATCCGATTTATTAAAGAAGAGGGAATCTATTAACTAATAGAATTACACGCAATATTATAATTTTAAACATTTAAAATTTACTATTAAAATTGAATGAACAATTTAAATATAAATAAAGGGTAAATACCATGTTTAATGATATCCAAACGTAAATATCTTACCAATATTGAGGTTTTGTTTGTTGCAATTTAAAAATTAATTCATTAACCAAATAAGTTAATTTTGTTAAAAGAATTTGAATAATCCATTTTGCAAACTTATTTTCCGTCCAAAAACTCATGGAAAATGCTCCATAGAAATATTTTTTTTTCAACGAATAGAGAAATTATCAAATTTGAATTTAATAAAAATTTAAAAAGATAAAGTAGTGGAGATAATTTTTTTACCAAATTTTATCATATAAATAATTTTTTTTACTAAGATTTAGAATCAAATTAAATGAAAAAAAGAATAGTCAAGACTTGAAGATGTTTTAATAACAAATGCATCTTTTGAAATTTATTTGAAATACGAATTATTCTTTGTAATTTTGGAAATTACAAATACCTCGCTTGTCAAAAAATTTTATTTAACAGAATTAATAAAAATAAATAAAATTTATAACTACTCTCATCTACAATAACAAAATTATCAGAATTGTTAATTGAAATATATCTATAACATTATTAAAAATTATTAGTTGAATTAATTATCTATTAATAAAATAAATTATTTGTTATGCAATTAGAAAGTTAAAAGAACGGGATATAATGTTTAGAATCACAAAAAATAATTCTTATTTTAAGCAAATCTTAAAAGATATATTTGTAATTTTTTTTTTATTTTCTTAGTTATAACTCCCATAAGATTAGGTTATAATATTCACGCATCGTTTGTTTAGGCAAAAAATATTTTTTAAAAAATATTTTTTGTATTTTTTGTTATTTGCTACAACAAAAAAAAAAAAAAAACAAAAGTCAACAAAAAAATATTTTTTATACTCAATAAAAAAACAAACTTATTTAAGTAAAAAATACTTTTCACTTTTAAAAAGTAAAAAATATTTTTCAAATTATAATTTCACTAATATCATCACACTGCCACTCTTACCTTCACCATTACGACCATCTCGTCACTATTGCCGTTCTCATCCCCGCCGTCATCACTCCACCACCATGTCACCACCACCACTCTCACCTCCCCCTTCCCTTTCCCCTTCCCCTTTACATTCACATTTACCTTTGGTCCATCCTTACCAATTTTTCGTATTCCGTCCAAAAAACAAAGCGAATGTATTATTTAGCGGTTAGCTTCCTGTTGGGCCCGTGGGAGTCCACTGCGGATCCTGTTTTGATAATCTGAATCGTTAATGTGTAGAAATCGTTAAGTATTATATGCTTATAAAAAATCATGTTAATCAAATATTGATAGTTACTTGATCAAATCAATTTGTATATATAAAAAAATAGACGGTGAAAAAATAAACGATTGACAGAAATCTGATTCGATGAGATAACTATCGATATCCAATCAATATAATTTTTTTATAGACATATAGTACTTCACAAATTTTATACATTAAATAATTCAAATTATTAAAATAAAACTTATAATAAACCTCTCCAAACTCAATAATACCCTTCAATCTGAATGGAAGGAAAACCCAGCCCATTTACCTAAACTTAAAAGAAAGGCCAAATCATTGGATAAATAGCTTTTATTGTACATTGTTGCGCCATCGAGAATGTAAAAGTCAGATCAAATACAGAGACATCACTTACGTACCCTCTGCACAGACACGTATCATTATTGTATTTAGTATGAAAACGACCCTCCCTGATTGTGTACGTATTTTTTCTCTCTCTCTCGCAATCTGATCGCAAAGGAATCTCAAAAGTTTATAGACTCTACAAATTAAAATGACTTTCTTGCACAGATAAGACTGGTGGTTGAGCCATCTCTCCTTTTTCATTTTTTCTCTTTTGGCTTTTCTCAAAGTTTTCCAGGTGAGGAACAGAGCTCTTCTCTGTTTTTGTTTTTTCTAATTTTGTTTTGGCTGTACATGCATATCTGATTACAACTTGTTTTTGAGGTTGGTTTCTGGATTTTTGATCTATTTGATCAATTGGGTCTTTGATCAGTCTTGCTTATACTGTTTCTATGTATTCAATTTCAATTGGGTTTTAGTTATAATCTTGATTTCAGATGGGTTTTGTCTTTAAATACAGTGATGATTTGGGGTTCTTGGCTCTTCAAACTAGCGATTGTTTATGGGGTTTAATCTCTGTCGTTGATTTTAGATCAGATTTTCAGGGTCAAATTAATCTCAGTATGTTGCTACAAATTGGGTTTTATTTATTTATAATATTGTTCATCGGTATGCTGAGGAATTGGATTTTTCTCAGCATACCCTATGTTATACAGATGTTGCTTCACTGTTCTTATTTTTCTTTTTAATTCTTCAGTTTAGTACAAATTAGAAGTTTTCAACTTTTTAATCTGTTGCCAACTTAATTATCAAAAGGTGCAACAAATGTTGTAGATTCATACTATGCTATTGTTTTATGAACATTTTCTATTTTGAATATCAAATCATTGTTTCATAGTCTTCTTGGTGTAGATGTTAATTGTAAAATTCAGCTATACAGATACAAAAATGTTCTATTTTAGTCCTATGGTTCATTATTTTTGTTTTTGTGTGGCTTTAATGGGTTATCTTATTTCTTGTTGTTTGATGCAGGTATTCAGATATTTTTTCTCATTTGTGTTGCTTTAGCACATTGTTGAATTCATCTGAATTATTGGTAAATGGGATCCGAAGGGCCTCCCACGGTAACAATCCATGTGACGGGTTTTAAGAAATTCCATGGAGTTTCAGAGAATCCAACCGAGACGATTGTTAGTAATCTTAAAGATTTTATGAAGAAAAAGGGTTTTCCCAAAGGGCTGATCCTTGGAAGTTGCAGCATTCTTGAGACTGCAGGACAAGGTGCCCTTGTCCCTTTATATCAGACATTGCAATCTGCTGTGAGCACGAAGGATTCTGAATCATCAAATTCCGGGGGAGTTATTTGGGTCAGTTGCTCACTTGTCAATTAAACTAATATTGTTTTACATTTTTTCCAGCTTCTCTCTCTTGAGAAAATGTTTAGATGGCATGGTATTCTGTTAGGGTACGTAATATGACCTTAGCCATTCTCTGAGCCTGCCATGATCATTTCAAATTTTTTATTTTTTATTCTCCTATTGAGAATGAATCTAGAAATCATAGTTGTTGGCTCCTTTGTAATGTATAGACAGCAATTACTACATGAAGAAGATTGAATTTATGGACTTTGAACAACAGTAAGCTGTTCCTGTATTCGGGAATTATATGATTGTACTCGAGAATCTTAACCTGAAGACTAGTATGATACAATCTTAGATTGTGTGAACATTGTTCTGGATTCAACTTCTTTCTCTTTTCTTTTTTTTAAAGAAAAGTACATTTATGCTTTGGTTTAAGTGCCATTGTCAAAACCTGTTTAGCTTTCTGCCGAGACTAGCCATCTTGCATGATAGTATCAATATTTTCACAAAACTTCTATGTTGTCATATTTAATAAGCTATATTCGTTTAAGGTGATATTAAACCAATTAGCATTACGTATCTGTGCATCAAAATTCATCCCTCTTTTGACAAAACTTCTTCAGGTACACTTTGGGGTCAATAGTGGTGCCACAAGGTTTGCTATTGAGAAGCAAGCTGTCAATGAGGCTACTTTTCGCTGTCCAGATGAGATGGGATGGAAGCCTCAGGTCAGTATATAAACTCCCTAGGATATTCTCCATTCAATTTTAAAATTTTGTGATTTATGATTTAATTTACCTGACTGCCTTAAACTTATTATTGCAGAACGTCCCTATTATTCCCGCAGATGGTGGAATTTCACGAACACGAGAGGTAACTGGATTTTGTCATCTTTTTCATGATCAAGGTTTTTATTTTATTTTTTATTTTGGGGTATTTAGGTAATCTTTGTTTTTAGAGTGCAGATTTGTTAGTTGTTTGTTTGGTGGTTTGGGTATTATACCCTTTTCTTATTTAGATTTTTTTGATAAGTAAATCTTTTAAAGTTCTTATCTTATTTGGAATATGTTGAGCCCTACTTACTTTGGAAATACTTTTGAATTTTTGGGAATCCCAAGTCTTGTTAAATAGTCTATGCGTCTATTTAAGCTAGCCCGGTGGAAAAATTTATATTGCAGATTCAACTTTTAATGATGAGTGAGACTCCATGCGATTCCTAGAAAACCTTAGTGAGGTTCTAAATTTTTTACGCTTGATTTTTCGTAAGCCTCTGCATCAAGAAGCTGCCAGCCTGCCACTACGACATCCAGCCTTTTCATTATGACTTAAGACACTAAGACCACCTTGATCCTAAACCCTAATGTAGTTTTGGTTTACTGGAATGAAATAAAATGGAATGGAATGACCATTCCTTAGCCTCCCAAGGGAATAACTATTCCCTTACAATGGCGAATGATGATTTCAATTGTAATACAATTTTGTATCATTTTTTTAATGAACCAAATGTGTGAATGGATATTATGATGGAATGATCATTTCATTCCACTTAATTCTAGTTAACCAAATTGAGCATAAAAGAACTAATCACTAAAATCTGGAATCCCTGCTTTCCAGAATTATCAAAATTTACCCCAATAATCTTCCAAGTTACCACTTTCAAATTCACACCCTAAACAGCCACAAATCTCTTTATACCATTATCTGCAAACCTTAATCCCAACTTTCTAGCAACTAGCTTATATTTTGAAGCCTTAGCTCACCAAATTTGGTTGTAGGGGAGAGAGAGAGAGAGAGAGAGAGAGAGAGAGAGAGAGAGAGAGAGAGAGACTCCAGTATAAGCCTGGATTTCCCTAAATAATGCCGAGGATTTGAAAAAAAGAAAAAGAAAGAAAATAATAATGAAAACTGCAAAATACAAGTGTTTAAACATCTCAACTTGTTATCTTTGTTGATGCTTGATTTCTCTCTTTCTATATAGATTTTATCCTTTAAAGTAGAGAGGCACTAGGAAGACATGTTGCTTATGGAAACAACTCAAAAATGACAACTGACTATAGGGCAGGTCATACATCTACATTCTGCAGTAGAAACAATGGCAATATCCGATGTCCTCATTTCTGCCACTTGCAAGTTGCAGCGTTAAAAATCAAGTAAAATGTTGATTAAAAATTGGTGTCTTGTTTTGCAATTTGTAAATCTACTTGAGAATCATGCTTCTTATATGAAATTCCATCAATGCACCCAAGCATGCCGATTTTATAGTTTCCTTCATTTTATGGAGTTTGTTTGGCTTATGTTAGCCTGTATGAACTGGTATTAACAAATATGATGTTTTTATTTGTTTTATACCAAAGAGAATTGAAATGAATTGAACACTAGAAATCTTTTGACATTATTGGTTGTCGATTTATTTTGCTTTTTGACTTCCTTCCTGGCAGTTAAACAGAACACACCTGAATTTTAAGCAACTAGTACTTGTAGAATTTTAACTCAGAAAATTGGAGTTATGAATTATGATTAAATCTAATCCAAAATTTTTGAGTCCTGCCTAGAGGTGATGGCATAAAATTTAACTTCTTGTTCTTGCTGCTAACTAACTAGTAAATATTGGACCTGTTTGGTACAACTTCTTGTAAGTTGAAAGTTGATAATCAAAAAACAAAAAAGCCAAAACACCCTTCCATTGGCTTCCAGATAATCATCTTTTTTCAGCTTATTTAAGCTATTTTGGCAAAATAAGCTATAAGTAAAAACTACACCAAACAGTCTAGCACAGACTCCCAAAGTAGAAAATGCTATAAGCAACTCATGTAACCTATTATGTCAACTGGTTGAGGAATTTCCTCCCTCTCCCATGATCAATGAAAATATTTCTCTAACCATAAGCTGCAAGTCGGTGTGGCTCCCATTCCCAAAACAGTTCCAAAATAATATTCTTTGATTACTTTTGAGGGCTCAAAAGTGCTTGTTAACCAATCTTTCCGTCTCATTGTCTAAGTCAAGTATTTGTTGCTTGTCCTAGTGGGATACTGAGCCCGCTAGTAAGCTTTCAGTAACCTAGATAGAAGTTTAATTGTCTGCCAAATGCTGCTATTCTCTTTGTATTGGAGATCTTTTTGCATTTTCAGTTCTTTGTTAATGCTTTATTGGTTATGCTCATATATAATTGATCTTAACTTGTGCAAAGGAGCCATCTTTGTTGATTATGTTGATCTCTCGCGTACAAATTGTGTGCACTCCTTTTCCTATACATTGAATTACAGTTAGAAAGGCAGGAAGAAATAGGAATATTGGAAGTCAGAAGAAAATGTGCATAATCTGACATGATATTGATATGCCATGCTTTATTCACTTGGATCCTTGTCAAATTGATATAGAAGAAATGTGAATAATCATTGCAATTCTAGATTTTTTATTTATTTTTTGATAAATCATTGCAATTCTACAATTTTATCGAAGCATTACCATAGTTGTCAAATCAAGAATCATATCGTAAATTGAAATCATAAATCGTGAATTAAAATCATAAATCGTGAATTGAATCAAATTGAGAATTGTAAGATTCAACACAAACTATAAAAATGATGTCAAATGGATTTTGGCACATTTATTTTAGCATGTGTTATACAATAATTCTTATTTAAGGACATGACTACATTTAATTGATAAGACCTTTGCCTTCGTAGCAAGAGATGTGGGCTCCAAATCCGACCAACCATTATCTATTCTCTCTTGGAATTCAAAAAATAAATTTAGAAACCTAAATAGAGTAGAATAAGAAGAAAGATTAAGTGGGCTACCCTAATATTGCTTGGTTGCCCTTAATTGGGAGGTTTTAGTGGGTGAGTTGTTGAAGATGGATGGTGATCATGTGTACTTTATTCTAGGAGTTGGAGGAGTTAAGGAATTTTTTCCACCCTTATATGTTGCCCACATTGATGATGGAGGTGACGACATTTGATGGAGGAGGTCTTGTTCAAGCCAGTTTAATGAAGTCTTTCTATGAAACCCTCAAGGTAAGGGTCTCCGTTTGGGATACTACAACACTGTCTGTAGAAATTTAATGTATAAAGAGAAATAGATAATTGTATTATTGATTGATGTGTTGTGTATATTACAAGGATTCCTATTATATAGGAGAGGATTTAGGAGTAGGTGGAGAGTAGGTGAGTGTGTGTGGTAGGTGGTAGTGGGTGTAGTAGGTGTAGATTTTAACAGTCCCCCGCAAACTCAAGGGGGATAGGAACTAACCAACTTGAGTTTGGAGAGAGTAACTAAATAAGAAAATACATAAAAATAAAAGAGGATAGGAGACACTGTATGGTCGTGTCAGACCGTTGGTGAAGACACTAGATGGGTGTGTCATAACGTTGTAGAGGACACTGGATGGTTGTGTCATAACGTGGTAGAGGACACTGGATGGTTGTGTCATAACGGTGTAGAGGACACGGAATAGTTTATGGGGTCATGTCGGACCGTAGTTGGAGATACTGGATGATGGTGTATTTAGGCTACCCAAAAGATATACAAGTAGAGATATATATCGAGCCCTCAAAAGACGCGCCCTCAAAAGGCGCGCCCACTTCATCAGAAGTTGTGCCCGACAGAAAGCGTCGAGCCATCAAAAGGTGAGCCGGAGACGCAGCGAGGCACGTGAGTGACAGAGCGGCGTGTCGGCCGTGTCGTTTTTGTCTTTATAAACCAAAGCGAAGGCTGAGGCTTGGAAGCATAACAAACCAGTTGAAACCTCTTCGTTCTCTGGAACATCTGAAACATCTGTAACAGCCGAAATACTCAGCAACCCATAACATGGCCTCTTCTTCCCGTGGTCTGCTCACTCTCTTTCCAGACCTCAACGAGTCAACAAGAGAGAAAACTGGTGCGGTGGCACTGGAACCTCAACCAAGCGCCCCGGAGTTTGCTCCGTTGAACTTCCCTATGCGGTCTGTGGAGCAAAGAATGGCAGGGCAATCGGATGTGGAGGCAAATCAGTATACATTGAAGTCATGTGTGGAGACCATGACGGCAGTCACAAACTTGTCGCACCGGCTGCAGAGTAGGACAAATGAGGTGCAGCAGTTAAACGCCCAACTGGCTCTGCTCCAACGCATGTATAAGGATGCGCGAGCAGAGATAAGTGTGCTAAAGGCGGAAAATAAGGAGCTGAAGCGGAAGGCCACCGTTATGTTCCGATTTGGAGGTCCGCCATATGCTGTAGTGGAGGAGCAGGGTGGAGTGATCGTGCCCAGTGGAGTGGGAAACACGGAGGCAACACCATCAAGGGCCGCCCAGGACGGAGGCAAGAAGAAAAGACCGGCGGAATAGGCGAAGAAGTGTTTTTTTTTTTTTTTTTTTTTTTTTTTTTTTTTGTGTTTTTTGTTTTTTGTTTTTTGTTTTTTTGTTTTGGTGTAAAATGGTGATCGAGGTTGATCCCCTGATATGAATAAAATGACAAGGTGGTGGAATGTTGTTGGTGAGATTTTGTGTTGTTGTTTGGTGTAATAATAAAAATAAAAGAAAATAAAACAATGGATAAAGAAAATAGATAAAAATAGTTGTGGATGGGGGATAAGAAAAAAACAGCGGTGTGATTTATTTATTTATTTGTTTTTTTTTTTTTTGTTTTATTTTTATTTATTTTTGTTTGTGTTTTGAAAATAAAAGAAAAGAAATTAGAAGAGAAGTATGTGAATAAAATTGAAGAGAAATGTGTGAATGGGAAAGGAATAAAATAAATAAATAAATAAATAAATAAAGAAAAAGGAAAAGTGAGATTCAAATGCGTGGGGTCGGGTGGGTGTGTTTTTTTTTTTTTTTTTGGTGGAAAAGAAGAAATGATGTGTTTCTCAAAAAAAAAAAATAATAATAAAAAAAATAAAAATCGCTCATGAACACCACTCAGAGAGAGGGAAAGATTGAGTGGGTGTCTTGCCCCAAGAAAGGCTATCCACGTGATCCCACTAACCAACACAACACTTTTTCTTTTACTACCTTGTTTTTTTATTTTATTTTATTGTTTTTTTTATCTCTTCTTTTCAAAACAAAAAGATGATGGTGAGTGCTGTGTGCGTGTGTCTTGATCCGCAGATGAATTAAAGATTCAGAACATAAATATATATAATGACGCACTGAGCCAAGGCCTGAGGATGGCTAATGACGAGAGTTAGGTACTCTGTTCGGACGCCTGGGAGGGCCAGAAGGCAGTGGTGGACGGGGAACTGGACTTCGCCGACGATGTGGAGTCGGTGGCAGAGGAGGAGATCGTAGTTCCGGTGGATGCTACCGCCGAGGGAGTTCTCGACTGGTGACGAGATCTAGGGTTTGGTGGCCGTTAACGGCGGTGATGTTGTCGGCGTTGCCGCTCTTCACGGTGGTGTCGTGCTGCTGCGACACCACCTTGCTCGCTAAAAATGGCGCACGAGCTCTGCCAGTCGGTAGTCAACAGTGAGGGAGTGGTGTCGGCGGCGAACCTGCGAACAGTGAGGGAGTGAGAGAGAGTGCGAAAGCCACGAAGAAGATTCGTGGAAGGAAATGATGGAGCGAAGCTTCTCTTCTTGCAGAGGTACGGCTGTGGAGAGCAGAAGGTATGTGTAGAAAATTTTAGCAGACTAGGTTGAGGTCCGGCGGGCAGTTAAGGTGAGGTTGCCGCCCGCCGGGAAAGCGAAAATATTAGGTTCTAAACCTGCTCTGATACCATGTTAAAATAGATGTATTATTGATTGATGTGTGGTGTATATTACAAGGATTCCTATTATATAGGAGAGGATTTGGGAGTAGGTGAGGAGTAGGTGGAGAGTAGGTGAGTGTGTGTGGTAAGTGGTAGTGGGTGTAGTAGGTGTAGATTTTAACACTGTCTAAGGTGACTACTCTCTTTGTTTGGTGCATGACTCATGGAAAGGTCCTCACTATTAACGGCTTGAGAAGGAGGAGGCAAGTGGATGTCTATTGGTGTTATATGTGCAAAAATGATAAGGAAAATGTGAGTGTCGAGAAGGGAATTGTGGTCCTTGATCCTATTCTTGTTTTGAGTGGAGTGGATGTTCCTAGACTTGTACTGTAACTTTTTCTCTTGGAGAGGTGCTCACATTGGGAGGAGGAGGAAGAAGGCTTGGTGTTAGTTTGGCCCATATAGCGATTATGTGGCTTCTGCGGGGGCAAAAGAGCATAGAAAAATTGTTGAAGGCAAAACAGTATCAATTTTGAGATTAAAGAGTAGTTTTGTGTCCATTTTGCATAGTTAATTTTTGGGGGTTAATCCGTCTTTGAATAATTTTTTGGATTTTGTGAGGCCTTTGAATAGGTTTTTGGTGTATAGTTGGTTTTCCTTTTCTTTCTGTATGAGCTGCACACCCTTGGTGTCTCTCTTTTATGAAATTTTTTATGCTTATATATATTAAAAAAAAAGGAATGAGTAAGGATTTTAAAATCGAAAACACTTTGAAAGGTATGTATGCTTATTGTTGAAAAAAGAAAAAAAGACGTGGAATCATTAGATCTAATTGACCTGATTCATATCTTATTAAACCATGTTTTTTATTTCACCAAAATAACAATAGATAATTTATGGGTTCAAATTATTTAACCTTGAAATCCTTAGAGATGGATTTGAATTTTTTTTGAGGGAAAAATAATAAAAAAGGGTTCAAAACATATTAGGTCTTACTAGATTTGATTGGATCCTCTTAAACCCTTTGATCACCAAAATAACAACAAATCATACATAGGTATTGATTTTTTTCATACAAATGCTCTTAAAAGTTGTATTATAACATTCACACCAAAAAAAGAGGTATAAGGAAGCTTGAATCTGACGAATTTGATGGTTTATAGAATTGCTTAATTGTAAAATATGAATCGAATTGTTAATCGTGCGATTCATCATCAATTATATACTAAAATAGATTCACCCATAGAATTGCATCAATCTATGCATGAATATTGAATTGAATCATGATTCGTAAGGTTATGATAACATAGTAATTAATATAATTATCTTTAACAAAATTTGAAAAATGTGACACATACAAAATATTTTATGAACTAAAATTACTTTAGTACTATATCATGTAAAATGCCCCTCTATTTTGGTTTTATTTTTGTGTCGCGTTTGATGCATTTACATTTGTCGTGTATCCTAAAGTGCATGTCACTGTCGGTATTCACCTAATGCAAATGGATATCAATAGGATTTTAGGACAATAAAACAAAGTCCAATTAGTACACATTAATGTGTGTTTGGGAGGGGAAAGATTGAGTACACACCTAACTTTTGACATAATACACAAAGTGGTGGTCCCAAGACTTGAACCCATAATCTCAAGGTTATTAGGTTAAGTCTTAACCATTGAACCAATGTGACCTAAATTTTTTTGTTCTTCTTTTTGTTCAATTCATTCATTTTGTAGTATGTTCGTGTTTATGCTGTATATACAGACTACTCTTCCCGTTGAGGAGATTACGAAGACCTTGGCAAAGATGGGTTATGAGGTGATGACCTCTGAAGATGCTGGTCGATTTGTTTGCAACTATGTATATTATCATTCGCTCCGCTTTGCAGAGCAAAATGGGATGAAATCACTCTTTGTACATGTGCCTCTCTTCTTGTCAATAGACGAAGAGACCCAAATGCGATTTGCTGCTTCCTTGTTGGAGGTACTTGCCTCTTTACACTAGTATTCTACTATTGGCTTTGTTTGATCTTATGTCTGGAAGCATATTTGCCTGTATTGATATTGCCCATGTATGTGGTGTGCGATGGAGCATGTTTGTTTGGTGCTTTTGATAATAAACAGTTAAAATGTATGTGAAGGGGGAAATGCAATTTATTGTGGCACATACATCTCTTGTATTTTCTGTGATCTTCTTCAAAAGTTATTGTCCGAATGTTCAAACAAACTTTAATGCTAATTGCCAATAAAAATCGCTGCTCACCAACCTACCTCCATTATTAGAATGTCGACTCATTTGTATGTAATACTAGTCTTGCTTTGCATACTGTGGTTTTGCTCTCAAAATACTTTCATGTGGTTAGCATATGGTTGGAGTTTGACTTTTTGTGACATTTTATATGAAAATTTAAAAAATGTGAGCTTTTCATTGATAAAAAAAAGTGATCAAGCGTCTAACCTCTCACAAACTTGCAAAAAAATTAAGTATACGTAACCTCTCACGCCACTCCTTTCCATATTCCGTTATTTGTATATGGATTTAGAAGTTTCAACACCACATCACAAAATCAGAGTGGCTTAACACTTCTCATCTACTTAGGGTCCCTCCAGATTGCAACCAGCTATTTACTTACCAAAACACGCAGTCTATTTATCATTTGTTGAAGCATGTTATATTCAATTATATGTGCTTGCAGGCTGCTCTTGTATCATAATGTGTCTGTCACTGCTAGTGTTTGTCGATTTGAAGGTTTGCCCTGATGCCCTATTAGATTGTTGTTTTTATGGCTTTTTGTTGAAGCTTCAAGCACACGGATGTGGTGTTCATTAAGTTGGAACCCTTCGACATTTTTGTCCCTGTAGATTTGATCTGTTGGTACTTGTTGAAATAGACATTATTTGGGGATTAAGAATCTAATTTGCTTTTCTTTTTTTCTTTTTTTGATGAAATTTTTTTCTTCAACTGCAACCAACTACTTGTAATGTGAGTTGTTATTACCGTTTTAATTATTTATCCGAGTTTTTGGTGTCAAAATGATCCAGTTCATACATTCTGAACATTGCTAGAGTCTGGTTCCAATCTGAATTTGAGTTGGATCATCATATTGGCCAAAAATGGAGGGAGATTAGAGAATCCATTGTGTTAATTTTGGCATGTAAATAATTTAAATTAAAGTTCTAAGCTTAATTGAGGGAGTGCTCTTGAAATAAGGTCATAAAAGGTGCTTCAGAAGTCCCCTTCTCCAACACTAGAGATGGCCACGCTTGTTGGCATAGACGAATTCAGGATTGTAAGGGAGAACAAAAAGACATTGTCAAATTGAAAATACAATATGGATTTTTATCAATATTAAAGATGAATAATATTACTATTAATTAGGCATTCTTTATCAAAATATTGTTGATAGAACCGTGGCTGTGTGTTAAGGGATTTCATATTTGTGATTCGGTGTAAATTTCGGGAGCATCATGAGGTTGTTCTTTGAGAATAAAACAATACAATTTGCCTAACTGAAAAACTTTTTTGAACATGTACATATATATAGGTGTCATTTGATAACCTTTACCTTTTTAGATTTTTTGTTTAAAATATATATTATACATGTTTAATTTGTTTTTGATAAAAATGAATACCGAAACATGTCTATTGTGTTTTAAAAAATTATTTTGAAAACAAGTGAGAGGTGATAGACGGGAACTGGTTGTCGAAAATAGTTGTCAATGGTTAGAGATGGTAACTGAAGTTGGTTGTCAATTGTGTGAGGTGGTTTCTGACAAGAGGTAGTGGCTACTGCTAATAGGTAGTTGGCGGTGTTCGAGACTAGTTGTTGGCTATTGGTGCTTGATGATTGGAAATGGGTGGCCGAAAGTGATTTTTGGTAAGGTAATGATTGAAGGTGGTTGTCACGGGTAGGAAGTTGTCGATGAAGGTCACTAGTGACTGTAGCCAAAGGTGCGTTATGAATACATTTTCTAAATTGGTTACAAGTTTTTAAAACACAAAAAAGATAAACTCATTTTTATTTACAATTTTCAAATTTTTTTTTTTGAAAAATTATAAACACAAACCTTATAAAACAAAACATATATATACATGCATATAAGTTATACATTCTATAGTTTGCCAAGTTTGCTTAAAAATATGTAAGTTTATACAAAGAGAGTATCGCGTGACATTGCTAAAATAATATTTTAAATCAATTACATAACAATTTTTTTTTAAAATGTCATAGACTTACTGACTTACTCTTGTTAAGTAATTAAGAAACTCACTTCATATGTATTGTAATTTCTCATTAGTTTGGAGTATGTATGATTAATTTTAGATATAAAAGGTGGTGATTTATGCAGTAAAATATTGAGAGAATTGTTATTCAGTGTATCTTTATAAAAGTAATTACAAATACATTGAAAATTTTATAATATTTTTAATTATTAAAATAAAATAGATAAAATTTATCATTAATTTATAAAAAAATTTAAAATTACACTCATTTATAATTTTTCTTAAAATATTTGATATTTTTTTGAGTAAAAATATTTGATATGTATTTATTAATATGAAAAGAGAATAAAGTGATGGATTGATGATGACACTTGGAGATGATTAAACTCGTGCGCCGGCCCTTATTCGTAGCCTACCCTTTATTTTGGTCCATTTTTACAAAAATGCATTTTTTAGTTCCTGCGCATGATATTAGAGAGAGATCCACAGCCACCCACTCACTTTTGCTATTTCATTCTCTTTGGTTTTGTGTATTATTTTTTATTTTTAAGTAATTTTTTTTAGATGTGATATTTTTATAAAGTAAAATATTTGTGATTTTTTTTTTCTTATTTAATTAAAATAATCTATTTTATTCTATATAACTATTTTAATCACAACTTTTATCCCAAACGGAGCCTTAACATGCTCTATTAAAAAACTTTCTCTTACATTGTTTAATTTGAAATATGAACTTATGAAGTAAATAACATTGGTTGTGAGGTGAAGTTGATTAGGATGCAAAAAATGAGAAACGAACAAGTGGAAGTGACACCAACAAGGGTTGGTTTAGTTGGTAAGGCTTGTTCCCTTCGCTCATTTGGCTTAGGTTCGAGTCCCGCTGCCGGCAGTCCTGTGTAACGCTTTCCCTGGCCCTGGAATGGGGTAGCCTCCCCTCCTCCTAAACTTTTTTTTGAATCAAAAAAAAAAAACTTAAAAACAGAATTTTTTTTTTGTGTTTGTGTGGGATGTATGTATGCCACAAAACAATCTCTCACTTTCACCTACACACTTTCCCCGCATTCTCTTCTTCATTCCCATGCCTCTATGCATGGATGGTCCAATGTCTATTCATCAATGAATTAAACCATATAAGTCCAAAAAGGAGGTTCATCTTTCAAACAAATAACCTTTTCGTTGGACCAACTGTTTTTGCTTTTGGCTTAAACAAGCTATATATGGGAGGGTGGGGAGGTAAAAGGGATGGCTCAGTGGATGTACACATTGGTTTCACTTTAGGATGTTTATCACTAAAATCACTAAAAATCAGATAATTTATTTTTAAAAGTATATTTATCGTTAAATGTAATAAATTTAATAATTTACGATTATTAGATCGACATAATTATTTATAGATGATATACACGAAAAATCTTACAAAATAAATAATTTAAATCATTAAATCTCACAGACCTAGACAATACCTTCCGGTCTAGATTTTTCAGTCCAGATTTATGTTGGACAGGAAGCAATCCAACTCCTTTTAGTTAACCCATCAATACATTCACTACTCTTACTAATCCATTGACCATTTGTTCTTATTTCACTGTATTGAGTTTGACAAAATTTTAAACTGAAATACAAAACTCCCATGGAAACTTCTGAATGTTAATTATTTTCAATCATAGTTACTTTCCTATCAACTTTCCTATCAACAAAATAAGCACACTTTTGGAGGATAAGTATCATTTCACTGCTAAAAACTTAAACAAATGTCACCATTTTATTTGATTGTATAGCATTTTCCTCGCTTAAATACATAACATCAAGGTGACAAAAGAAAGGACAAATTTTTTCTGTCCTTTTATATATAAACCCATCTATTGTAAGAAATCTGATTATGTATAACATTACTCATATAATTTAATCAGCACCGATCAACATCATTTTGTGGTATTGACTGCGGTGTTCCCTCGGACAAGCAATACACCGGTGGAATAGTCAGTGTTCTCATATCTCCATACGCATTCCAGCAAAATGGATCGAGCAACAACTGCCCTTGAGCAGGAAGCAATTCCACGTCCGAGAATGTGAGATTAGTGCATGGCATGGTGTCACTGCACGCCAAATGCATCGGTGGGCTTCTGATGTCGTAAGTACCCTTAATTTCTGAATACAAAATATCAGAAATGTACACTGCAGATGTCTGGTTGGTGCAGCCCTTGGTTTGGCAATAGTATTGGTCTATGATGATAGGGTTTCTAACAGTGTCCATTTGAATGTTGTTGAAGGTCACCTTAGATACTGATCCTGATCCACCTTGCCATGTCTTGATCCGGACTCCATTGTCAGAGTGCTTGACCACGGAGTCAGTTACTGTGATGTTTGACACGCAAGCTCGGGAGTTTCGGAGGCCAAGGCTGCCAATACTGCACCAAGGAGAGGGAAGTATATGAAAAATAAATAATAAATAAAAAGAGAGGGTATGGGTGAAACCCTTTTAAAAAATTGTCAGAACAGAAGTTGATGCTTAATTCTTGGAACTTTTTTTAAGCTTGAAAGAATAGTTTAATTCACTCAATTTTCACAATTGCACACACATAAAAAAATACTAATTCTTGAAACACAATTTGGTCTTGTTTTCAAAATCAATCAGTTTTTTTTTTTAAAAAAAAAATCAAAACTAGTTTCATGTTAAAAAAAATGAAAAGAAAAATTAGGAAACACTTTTCACATGATTTTAGCTTTTATGGGGATGGAAATAATTTCTGAAATTAAAAAAAACAATGATATTATTATTATTATTATTATTATTTTGTAAAATTAGTTTATATTTTTTTAATATAAAAATTCATAAAACAAATTGTGAAAATGACAGTATTGACAGAAGAAGAAGAAAAAAAGCTTGAGCATAGACTGATTTGCAAAATATATCGGTTCATAGCTGGTTCACGACCTGATTTGCGGCAGACAAGATTGGTTCATCTACCATAAAGCTGATATATAATACACAGGTGTATTAGTATCGGAAGGCCAAAATCCCAATGCATATGGAATGATATTGATTTTTTTGGTTCAAATTAGAGACCTGAACATTCCCATGCCTTGCTTCTTTTAGAAGATCAGACAATTCTAAGTTGGGGAATGAATGAATGTACCTTATTCCATGACTAGGACCACATGTTATATTCCTTATGTCTACATTATAACAACCAGCTCCAATAGATACACAATCATCACCTGCATAAAAAATTAAAAAAATTAAAAATTAAAAAAAAGAAAAGAAAAAAAGAGTATAATAAGCTTGCGGGCATGTACTTGTGGAGAAAGAATGGAAATTTTGAGAGATTGTGGGGGAATTTTTACCGTTGGAGATGACAGAATTGTAAATTTTCACGTTGTTTGAATTCTCTATGTGAATTCCATCTGTGTTGGGGCTTTGAGAAGGTGCTGTTATGTAAAGCAAGTCTACATGCACATCCCGGCAACCATCAAACCGGAAGTGGAACTGTGGACTGTTCTTGATTTTAAGTCCTTGTATTGTCAAATTTGAGCTCATAACGAACCTTATAGCCTGCAATATTTAGTACATTACAATAAAAATTGTCAGTCAACAATTTCTTTTAAGTGGAATTTGAGTTTTGGAAACATAAATGATCAATTGTTTGTGCTTACAACTGGACTATCGCACGGACCGGGCAAGGTTCTCCCATTAACTCCCTGTTTCATTGGCATCATTATCAATTAATCAAATAGAAACTTGCAAAAGTAAAGCCAAGAAAGGTATTCACTACAAGAAAAAGGCTTTGCCCGCCATTTTTCTGTCTTTTATGGGATTTAATAAACGTCAGGAAAACCCTTTTTCCTTGCAGTGATTGCAAGTGAAACAATTGCTTACTTTGTGAGGTTTGCAAGGAAGATTCCACCATTTCTCTCCTCTCCCATCTATTAGACCACCCCCTTGCATTGCCATTCCACTGAGTCTGTAAAACACGAGCCATTGTCGCCTACTGTTCTTTTTAGGCCATGAGTCGGGTCCATCTGGTGGCATCAGAGTTCCATCAATCTTTTTCATAACACACAAAAAAGTCATGCAAAAACCTCGTTAGCATCTCTTTTCGTCTTCCGAAAACTGTTTTTGCGAAATATTTTTAATAAACAATCCACTTTTTAGACAACCAAAAAGTTGTTTTTGCACAAAAAAAGAAAGGTATATGAAAAGGAAAATGTTATGGATCCCAAATAATCTACCAAATTTTTTACCAAACCTCTCATATAGGTGTGGGACCCATACAAACTTACATGTGTGTGAGTCCCACACCCATATGAGAAGTTTGGTAGAAAATTTGGTAGATTATTTGGGGTTTCTAGCATAATTCATATGAAAATAAGTATTTTTTAACTTTCCAAAATATATATATATATTTTTTGGTTTCTGAAAATACAGAAAACAAAAACAAAAAAAGAAAAGAAAAGGAAGAAAACGAAAACACAACCAAACAGATTGACACTTTTGACAGAAATAGCAGCATTACCTGAAATACCAGGCCACTTTGACATGGCCCTGTGAAGATTGTAGATTGAATCATGAAGGAATAGTGACGAGGAACGAGCAATGTCACTGATTCAGATTGGCAAACGGTGTCCCAAGCCATCTTGAATGCTTGAGTGTCATCTGTGACACCATCCCCAACAGCACCAAATGACAATACATTAAAAACAGCACTAGAATAGTAACTTCGTGTTTGTGAAGTTGGGGCAGGGGCAGCAGCAGCCTTAGGTGCAGGAGATAGAGGGAGTGAAATTTGAGTTGGGGCAGGGGCAGCAGCAGCCTTAGGTGCAGGAGATGGAGGGAGTGAAATTTGAGTTGGGGCAGGGGCAGCAGCAGCAGCCTTAGGTGCAAGAGATAGAGGGAGTGAAATTTGAGTTGGGGCAGGGGCAGCAGCAGCCTTTGGTGCAGGAGATGGAGGGAGTGAAATTTGAGTTGGGGCAGGGGCAGCAGCAGCCTCAGGTGCAGGAGATGGAGGGAGTGAAATTTGAGACAACAAGCGAAGACCCGAGTATCTACTACCCTGAATGGAAAGCATGAAAAAGCACAGGAAAATGGAGGAAAACAAAGAGAAAATCTGAGGGAGCTCCATGGTTGGTTTAGTTAGGTCGGCTAATAATAATAGCTAGCTTAGAGAATGAGATTTTATAGAACACAATGAAGCTATTCAATGCATATACAAAAAGAATGTGCCTTTTTCATTAGGATGTGGAGATCATGCTTTCAAGATTCAAAGAAACCCATAAAAGTTTTGATAGGTTTTGTCATTATTATCATAAGCTAGAGGATCATATAGGGTTTGTAGAATGAAGGTACCCACGTTTTTGGGAAGTATAGAAAACAAGAGAGATACAAAGGAGCTATATGTATCTGTGACCACAAGAAGCACTTAAAAACAAGTTGGAAGCAAAATGAAAAGACTCTAGTAGTTCATAAGTGAGATAGAGTTAGCCAAAGAAGCAGAGATAAGAAGGTGTGTGGCTGTGACCACTAGAAGCACTACTAAAACAAGTTGGAAGACTTCACAACTGTGAGAGAGAGAGAGCTCTGATGAGGGTATTGTAGAATCATGAGTTGAATTGAATGAAGTCATCATTTTTTATACTAGGAAGGAAGGAATTCTTAGTGGAAGCTCCTTTTTCAGGGCAATACGCAATATGCACCTACATACACTAATTTAATTGTGGCTAAACCGACCAGTTCCATTTAGAGAGTGGTTTGTTTTATTTTTTTTCTTGGTGAGGTTTGAGCATTCAATACAAAAAATTAAAGGCGTAGAGGGTAGGTAGATGAGTATTCAATAGTTTTGGAGCACCATTCCAAGTTAGTATATTAATATGGTATTTTTTCGATCAATAAGAGTAGTATTCATCCAATAAATAAAGTCGCCTTAATTCACTTTAGTCGGCTAAGTTGTAGACAAGATTGGCTCCATGTGATATTAAAAGTATTTTGTTACTCTAATTTCTATATATTTATAATTGGAGAAGTTGGTTGTCTATAATATGTTATTACATTTTTTATTGTAATAAAACCACAGTCGTGAATGTAAATTTATAGTTGAGAGAGTTGGTTAACTCTAATTCTGAGATGAATCATATAAATTAAGTGTTCTGTATATATATATATATTTTTTTTTTCTTCTATCCATTGTATTTTATATAGATTTTTAATAAGAAGTACCGCGTGCATATCCAACAATGATACTCCATTACAAATGAATAATTTTTCATCATGAGGATATGATGAGAGTAATAGCGAAGTCAAGAATTCCCATCCCATAACCATTTGGTCACCATGGTGTCGTATCATCCAAAGAAGAAGATGGCTACTGAAAGTCCTAACTAACGATGGAATTCAATTTTAGTAAATACCAGTATGGTTACACATCCATTTCATGCATCATTAGTTATGAAATGCATTGAATAAAAAAAACCATAATCTGTAAATTTTGTTAATGACAATCATTCATTTTCCTATTCTTTTTTTCTCTTCTTTTTTTCTTTTATTGATAATAATTTTTAGAACAAAAATTAACCGTTGTGGACTAGATAGTGCAGTCTGGCCTTGCGGCTACCAGGAGGCTCATTGTCATGATTTAAATCATTCATTTTGTAAATTTTTATATATAGGTCATGCGTAAAAATTCAAATTGATAGAATAATTGTAAATATATTATTTCATCACATTTGTATGCAAGAAAAAGGACAACTAATATGAGTTTAAAAATAAAGTTCTTTTTTTTTTTTTTTTTTGGAAACAAATATAATAAAGGGGGAATTACAATTAAGTGGTGTTTTAAAAAAATATTAAATAATACATGAAATAGTTTATAATTTTAATTATTAATGTTCTTAAAGTTTACTATTATTGTGTAATTTTTTTCCTACATCTACACTGAATAATAATTTCTCCTATAATAAAACATGTGGCTATAATTTTTAGATTAATCTGATTTTTGGATAAATTACACTTTTCACCCTTATAGTTTGATTCAAATTTCATTTTGGTCCCTATTTTTCAATTTGAACAATTTGGTCTTTATACTTTAAATTGAGTTTCAATTTAATCTAGTCGTCCAAATTCTCCATAATTTTTTTTTTTTATATGTACATCTCAGAGAGTGCGAAGTTTTCCAAACTCTTTAACTTTAACTTTCGACTTAAATGGAAAAACCAAATTAAAACTAAATTTAAAATATAGAGACCAAATAGTTTGATTTAAAATAATATGGACTAAAATAAATTTTGAATCAAACTATTAGAACTAGAATTAAAAGGTTTTTTTTTTTGGGGGGGTATTATAAAGGTTATTTTTAAAATAAAAAGTTAGTTTTTTATGCATGATCTATGAACAAAGCCTTATCAATTGAACGACTTAAATTATGAAAATAAGACTTGAATAAGGTCCAACTGTACTGTCTAGTCCAAAAAGAATCTTTGTGAAAATTTTTAAGTTTTTTTGTTAAAATTTTGTATTCTCATGGCCGGTTTCATCATAGTGTGCCCTTAGGGCTTCAGAATATTTTAGATGGTTTCATTTCAGCAAGTGCCCTTAGGTACTCTGGACATATGCTCACAAAAGTCATGGAGAACCCACTATGTATATTTTTAGCTTGGCTTTTATTTTTATTCTTTTAATTATTAGAGATTTTGGTTTTAGGGAGATCTAACAGAAAGCATTTTGTGAAATGGGAAACTTATTACTAATCAATAGCATTGTGTGGCTAGATCTTTCTCTAGCGTCTTTTGCTGACACTTGTTAATGCCCACTTTTGATTTTTTTTTTTTTTTTTTACAAACAAGTTTTTTTTTTTCCTTGCTACAGAAACTGTCAGTTTGGCACTTACAATTTTAAATTATGAATTTATGAATAAATATTGAGGATAACTGATATCATTTTATCTAATGGCTACCTAAAAATTATAAATAAAATTATATAACGGCTACCTAAAAATTAACTTTTTATTATTATGGTTTGAATTAACACTTTAGCTTCGAACATAATCAATTATAATTAATTCTAAGTTCAACACATCAATACGAAAAGTTAAAATTTTAGAAACTAAAATTTAAGGATAAAATTATTTTTTTAGAATTAAATATTTTTGTTACGAAAAGTATTGTTGTTACGTTTTTACTAACCTAACTTTCTAATTTTTTTTCCTACAATCCTAACTTTCTATTATTATGGTTTGAATAAAATTAAGTAGCTAATTTTTTTTTGTACTAACCTACCTTTCTATTATTATGGTTTGAATTAACACTAAACTTAGAAACATAATCAATTATGATTAATTCTAAGTTCAACACATCACAGCAAAAATTAAAGTGTTAGAAACCAAAATTTATGGACAAAATTATTTTTTAGGGACCAAATATTTTTGTTGCAAAAAGTGTTGCAACGAAAATTGGACATTTGTGATGAATTATTATCTTTTGGAGACCAAATTTTTGTCTCAAAAAATAAACCATTTGTGATCATATTATTGTGTCCCTAAAAGTGTATTTATTAGTGATATTTTCAAAATTGTCGCTAAAAGTCTTATTTTTTACTTTTCGGGACGACTTTTTACCTACTATCCTTACGATGAATGTATTTTACAATAAAATTTTCGCTTTTAGATATTAAAAAAATTTGATCTCTAAATTTTTTATATGTTCTAGTGCATGGTTCTTACTTATTATTTTATGTTAACGTGTATATATAAAAAGGCCATATAATATTTATGTAAAATTCATGTCAAGTTGAAAAATATAGTTTTTACTTATCTCACAAGGAAAATATTTATGTAGCAACATTCACCCTTCTTTTTTTTTTTTTTTTTTTTTTTTTTTAACTCAGCAAAAAGACTCATTTTATTGATGTAATCAAAGTACATATAATAGTGGAACAAATACTGTAGCAACATCCACCTTAATATTTATTTTTCTCCAATAATACGAAGGCATCTCAACATAAATATGTATATATATTTGGGTTTAGGTTGTTTCAGACTATACGTAGCCAAGCTAACACTAAGAAACCAATTGATTTGCTGGGATTGTTAAGAGAAATTTCATAACTTCATGTTTCGGATCATTTACCATGTGTATTATCAAGAAATCAAGATAAAAAATATACCTGAATCCATCGATGAACAGTTAAACGGAAGCGTCTGATTGTCAATAAAATCTTTGATATTGACTATGTTATTGCCTTCTAATCCTTTCCCCTTTGGTGCCTTATGTTTCTCCTTGAGAGGATTTAGAAAAACAAACAGTGGTTCTTATCTTTTTTTCCACCTTAGGAAGGAATAGGGACCATAACCTTTTAAAGGTTGTAATTGGTTTTCATAACTGAAAGGTAATGAAAACCAATAAATTAACCATTATTGGTTTGTTGTGGAAGTTCAAAAGGAATGAAAACCAACTTTAACCATTATTGGTTTTAATTTCTATTTATTGGTTTTCAAAACTGAAAGGTTGTGGAAGTTCAAAAGGAATGAAAACCAATTTTAACCAATATGTTTTAATTTCTATTTCTGCCTCTCATAGAAATAGAAATTATACAACTAGTATCTACACATTAGGTCCATAACACATATACCCTTAAGCCTATTAACTAAATTGAATCACTTAAATTGTAGGCTTCTTATAAATGATAACACCACATTTAATTATGTGGTCCCATCGAGACATTATCTAACAGGGATTCATTATTTTTAGATTCAAAATTAAATTAATAAATCGGAAAAAATCAAATTATCTCAATTCATAGAGATTGAGCTAAATTAATTCTCAAGTTTTTAAAAAAAAATTGTGGACCCCTATCCAATAGACTCACATAAAGCTCTTGACATGAATAATTGGTTATCATTTTTCAAAAATACTTTTCAGAAAATTCTATTTTTTTATTTTCCGTATTTTTTTATTTTTACTGAATCTTTTTAATATTTTGAACAATTTTTTTAATTTTTAGACATACTTAACATAAATATACCTAAAAAGTAAAAAAAAATTGAAAAAAACCTTTTAAAAATTTACTAAACACCAAAAATACAAAAAAAAATACAAGAATTCAATACATTTTTTGTATTTTTATGTATTTATTAATTTTTAAAAATATTTTTTCACAAATTTTTTATTTTTTAGATACATCTAAGTAAGGTGCATCAAAAAAAGTAAAAAAAATATTTAAAATTTTAAAAATATTCACTAAAAACAAAAAAATACAAAAACCAATAAATTCAATTTTCAAAAAACTTAATTTAAAAAACTCAAAACCAAACACACTTATTTTACCTTTTCTATGGCTTTGCAGGAAGTCATAGAGAACCCACTTTGGATATTCATTAGTTTAATGTTTTTTTAATTTATTTTTAATTATTGAAACTTTTGGTTTTCAGAGGCAACAGAAAGCATTATGTGAATGAATAGCATTGTGTGGCTATATATCTTTCTCTCGCTTCTTATGATGACAAATATTAAACCCACTTTGGATTACTTGCCATTTTAATTATGAAAATGGTTCTCTACATTGAAATTAAAGGTAAGTGGAGCGAATATGTTGAATTAAAATGGATAATGA